TGTGACACTGGGCTCCCAATCTCTCTCTCTCTCTCTCTCTCTCATCTATGCGTTACTCTTAGGGCACCATTGGTTTGGCATCACTTCATTCACTTCATTCTCCCAAATAGTATGACATAAAATGAAAGTATTATTTGTAACAAATGATATGTCTTTAAACCAAATTGTCTTCAATTGACTTTTTAGTTGAAAGAAAATTATTTTTTATGGAAACCTATAATTGAATCTTTTGTTTTTTAGTTGTTATTTCTTACCATTCGATCTCATTATCAATCCCTGTATTCCAACCAATTCTTTACTCTATAGTAATTTTCATCACTTTTCAAAGGTTTGGTATTATTTCGTTAGTCTATAAGTTATAGATACTATTGTCGTCTCTTATTATATTTTTAAGGTGTTTTTAGAAATTTTTAAACGATATATCATTTGTCAACAGAATTTCATCACATGAACAACAAATAAATTTTAAATAATCCAAAATATTTTAGATTTTGTTTTGGTATTTAATATAAGACATTGAAATCGGGAGGAAATTAATTGCATTTTAAACAAATTTATTGTTTTGGGTCAACACTAACATCATTAACATTGACCACAGAATCGGCATCTTTGCCCATATAGGATGGCCACCACTGGCTGTCAAACTCCTTAATGGCTCCCACTTTGCCATACTTTTGATCGGAAACACATCTCAGGTTAACGCGATATAAAGTCATTTCTCCCATTTCTTTGACCAAATTGTTGGCCAAAGAGTCGGCCGGCGATGAAATAGTGGTGCGTTTGTCGTAGAGGTTTGTGCACATGTTTTTGACCGACTCTTCATAGGCGTCGTGATCGAAACCCATTCGCTTGAAGTACGTGTCGTCGCTCTCCAGCCTCTGTCGGCTCTCTTCTCTCGGATCCATGAATCGAGAGATACAGTCAGACATCTCTTGTGTCAGCAATTTTACATTCTTTGACGCCGGGAACCAAAACGTGCCAAATATCAAGTCAATTGTCCCCTTATCTCCGCTTAGAGGAGGCGCTAAAGTACCTAATATTTTAACAAAATATAATTTTTAAAGAAATATTCTGTAAAATAATAGACTCAAAGAAATACCAGTGGAAATAACTCGTTGAATGCCTCCGCCGTCATGTATCCCAACGTGTCTTCTATACCTTCGGCGCGATTTGAAAATTCTGTCATAACTGACGGGTCGTGAGTCATAATTTTGATCATAAGAGTTGTCCGAATAGGGTTGACGTTTGTATTGGTATTCCTGATATAAGGGCTGATATGCGAATTGTTGTTCAGTGTCCGGCTCTTGAGGTTTAGTGTCATAAATATTGTTTGGCGCCATATTTTGTTCAATCCATTTGTATCCAATTGCCGTATAATTAATTTTATTTAGATTTTTGTGATCTCTAGAGTCATATATAATCGACATATTCTTTGGACTCAAAGCTCGCAATTGTGTGAAAAGTGTATCATTGAAACGAAGTTTACAGAAGTCGGCCCTCGAGTTGTCGTGAATTGTTGTCCCTTTTAATTGCAAATCAATATTTATTATAAACACATGTAAAACAATATTATCGTTAGTGTTAAATATAATGCTAAGATATAAGAATATTGTTCAATACCGGGTGCTATTTGAAACGTTTGAGCATTTGATGCGTTTATGACATCGTTCTCCTGAGAATCGCACGAAGAATACCAGAATAAAAAGAGATCTCTTGTAGTGGTTGTCGATATAGTGAGTGGTGAAGACTGTGTGCCGATCAACATATCTATTGGCTTTTCCAGCAGTTGTTTGCCATTTCTTCCGTCGAGAACTGATAACTATTTAATTGCATAAAAACCAAACCAAAGAGTTAACAATGCATAATAAATTGTGACAATTCTGACACAACAAATACCTGTGCGCTATAATAGACGGGAAAACCGGGACCAAAGTTATTGAGGACAACAAAGTCAGGAGTGGTGTCATTGTTGAAGAAGCCAACGGCTGGTGTGCTATAAGTCTCTGAAGTGGGAAACTCGGCTCTCCAGAGCTCTTTGAACTCGAGTCCATCGAAAGCAATGACCGTTGAGTTAAATAAAGACATAACAATATCGAGAACGTCGTCGTCGTTAATATCGATGAGCGCCGGCGGAACCATAACTCCTTTGCAACAGTCCTTATATATGACTCGCGATCTCTCGATCCGCTTGTTTAACAAATCGTCAAAAGCGATGGCATAGAGAGCGCCGGCGTGTGTCTCACCACCCGTTCCGTACAGTATCAACAAAGTGCTGTCCGGATGGACCAGTAGTTGCGGCGAGTAATAGCTCTCCGATTTATCGGGAACTAAACTCCACGATATTATCGTACCTTTTAATGGAAAACAATTAGTTTTTGTGCTTATAATTCGTTCAGTTTAAAGCAGACCTGTTTTGGCCGACATTATCAACAGTCGACCGGCAAGTCTTGTCCTTTCATTCGGTTTCCTAAGAGGATCGCCGCCGTGTATTACTATTAAAAATATTCACATCACGATTAATACTAATATTACAGTTAATATAATATTATATAATAATTTAATATTATATAATTTGCAATATAAGGGAACTAAAACACTTGCCGACTAGATCTGGCACTCCATCCTTGTCTACATCTCTAGGTATATACAGCGGTGTATAGAAGTTTGACGTTTCGACTATCGGTTCTCCAAAATTAGGAGCAATGGACCAAATTATAGCTCCAGTCGAGCCATCGATTGCATAAAGAGTCTAATATTTGTATTAATTTATGTCTAATTCTGTGAACTATAAGTGACTGGTCTTACAGCCATTCTTCCGCCAAGAATGCAGTCCTTAATAGAGTCTCCATTGATATCGTGATTGCAATTACTCGCAAATAACTCGTGAGGAGTGTAACGGACCCATAATTGTTGACCACTGCGACCATCGATGGCCATCACTCCACCTCCACATCCTTGACGTGAATCAACAATTCAGTCAATTAATAATTGAATCTTTAAAATGACTTTCGCCTTAAGATGAAACTCAAACTCACCCGAAGTGTCGGTTTTTGTTTGATTAAAATATATTTGACATGAAATGTAATTATAATATGAAGCGTCGAGTCCTAAAACAAAATAAATCATTAAAATATGTCAATTGATGTCTTAAGGAATAAATATTTAATTAGTAGATTTTATCATTAGCTTAATTAACGTTTGTTTTTATAAATAAAATCATAAATAACATAAAACTAATTTGTAATGAATGTCGTAAATATATGTAAAATTGCAAATCGTATATAAATTATATCAATTATATGCACAGAATTTGATGGTTTAAAGACAACAAACATTAAGTTGTCAGCGAATTCTTGGCTAAATTATTTTGTGCAACGATTGCAATGAATCGGAAAAAATAAAAATTAATCACTAAAACAGTGAAAATATAAATAAATTTTAATTATTTATTTAACATTGTCAAAAAATATTATACTGTAAATAAAGATAT